GGTGTGATCTAAGATTAATCTTTAGTGAGCAAAAGCTAGTTTAAGTGTGTTGGTTTGTACAACACAGACATTTTTCATTTTACTCGGGCTTACAAAAATAATCATTAACTACCGAACATTTGGGCTTATGTAATGTATTTGTGACTGAAAGAGCCTATGTCTCTGGAGGTTACACAATAGCTCCATCAATCTGCCAGCCTGCAGAATGTTACCTGCATGCTTTCTAGTTTTCACTAGATATTGAGAACTTAAGGGTTAAAATATCAAAATGTGTAGGAATAACTTTATAGTGTTCCACAAGGGACACCTCAACAAATTTGCTCTTGTGTTAAATTGCATGGGGAGCATTGTAAAATAAGCGATGAAAAACTTCATGGTTGCACGTTAAATGATGGTCAGGGCTATGAGAAACCCCTGCGGGCAGCTTGGTTTGGCTCTGCTCCTGGCAACACCCTTTTTTTTTTTTTTTTGCTTTTGCGTTCCCTCATGCATCATAATGCATTTAAGCAGGACTTAAATGAGATGAAGGAGGTACGAGCTGACACTCTAGGAAGGAGACATCGTACCCTGTTGCCAAGGTTTGATAAAGTCACTTCAAGGAAAAGTCAAATTGGTAACTGCTTCCTTTCACAGCTGACTCCCAGGAGACAAAGACTTAAAGATTACTGACTGTCACCTGGAGATTTTTCTCATTTAAAAGACACTCTCCACCCTTGATGGAAGGAACCTCATCAGGTGCCTAACCATGAATGCACGTCTGTGCCTCTCCCTGACACTCGCCTCCACCTACAAGGGACATCAAAGACTCCGCTAGGATGAGAAGTCACTGACATCAGAGGTGGCCAGCTCCCCCAAGACTTGGACGGAGACTGTATACCTTTCAATTGATACTTAAACTCAGAAACCAACTGTTTGTTTTTACCTTTCTACTAATGATATGAGTCATAATAATAGTTATACTTGTTCATTGGATTTTTTTATATAGTCTCACACTTGTGATTACCGAGCACATATAAGATAACTATTAATGCTCTTTTTATGGCCTATGTAAATGTCCTACTAGATGCAAACTGCAGAAAAGTGAGACAGAAGGCAAAATTTGAATCATGATAGTTCACAGGGTAGAAATAACCCACAGTGTTTTTGCAATGAAGGCCATAGGACATAACTACCTTTCACTTACCTGCCCGTTCCTTTTTTTTTTTTAATATTGGAAAATTTGGCCTCAACTCACATCCCATGGTTATGGTATTAATCCATCCCCAGTGGTCCATCTTTTCAACAAAACAACTCAGTTGAGACTTCCTACGTATGAGTCTTCCTAAAGCTGTGAGACCACACTATCCAACCAAAAGGTTGGTTATCAATGCATCCTTAAGATAGGTTTATTACCACGAGAAGGGACTGTGAACACAAAGGGGGTTCTATGGAAAGTCACCTCACAGGGTGATCTGATCATAAATTCCTAACTGGGCAGGTCGTGGTGGGCAGTCATGCCCAGGCCTCTAACTTCCTTAGTTAAAGGCTTTTCTTTGTCTTAAGTCAGCCCTGTCCACTGTTTGTGTGCCTGTAGGTTAACACACCTTTGAAATAAGCATAACCACCCCACAAAAAGGTAGTAGAACTGTTAACTATTCTGCAATCCAACCCCTGCCTTGCTTTCTCCTACCTTCATGTAACCTTCCTTATGTTCCTTCCCTAATCTCAAGTACATAAGAGAAACTGCAAAACTGTCATCCTCTGAAGAAGTTGAGATCTTGCTTCCTAGCAATTGTCATCAGTTTGGCTCAAATGAACTCTTATAAAAAATAATCTATATATTTGGATGCCTCTTATATCAACGACATGAAATATCATTTTTATCTTATCGCTTTTCTGTATTTAAGGTGCCCATCTCTGTGCCTGACAGATGATGTGGCTGTAAATGCAAGTAGAAAAGCCCCCCAAACCTAATCCCTGCAATGTCCATTTTGATAACCTTAACTGCCTTCACATTGGGAAAGTGAAGGGCTACCGTATTTCTTAACAGTGACTTTGTTCTATTTTTAAGAAAAGCCATCTTACATTAGCACATAACTTGTACAGGGTTTCATCCGTCATTTGCCACTCTGATCAATCAAAACACCAGATCTATTTCAATGGGTCTACTGGAAAGGAAGAGAGACTAGCAGGGAAGACCTCTAGTGTGGTGACAGGCGGTCCTGAATTTGAAGAGCTGAGCAACTTAGGTTTCTTAACTGTAAAAATTAAGTAATGGCCCCCGGGATTGCTGGAGATAACGCACAGCTTGCTGCAGTGCCTGGTACAGCATAAGTGCTTCATAAAATAAATGTTACTTAACAGTATTAATAAGATGTTTTCAAGTTTAATATATATAATAAAACCAGCACTTGCAGAAGACTTATTTGTCCCTATTTCCCCAAGTCAGAAACCCCACCACCACTGCCCAGGGAATTACTGCGAAGACTCTAGACAAGAGGACAAAATAACCGCATCACGCCTTCCCTTCAGAGCATGGGCCAATATTCTAATGTTCCTGTTTGCCTATGTGTGACCATCTGGTTCCCTTTGAGGGAGCCTCGGCTCCTCCTAGGGGTGGGGTTGATTATCCCCTGGGGTCCAACCAACCGCTTTTGGAGTAGACTTCTGTTGCTTAGCCCCTTTGTAAGTACAGTTTAAAATTTAATGTGAATTCGGTAATTGCTAAATCATTGACCTTAACAACACTGACTACCTTGTTTTCTGCGTAAGATCCTAAGCTTGGGAAGAATGTGTTTTTGTCGAATGTTTTGACAACCTCTAAGTATACAAATTCTCCAGAATTAGCTGGCCCTAAGTTCTCCCAGATGTTGGCAACAGACCATATGGTGTGTTACAATGAACTGTCTTCTCCGGATGGAGCTGTAAATCTGTGCTGCAAATCCCAGAGTGGCCAAGGAACAGGTGGAAACTGAGAGTCACCTCCTAGGACCTTGGGGCACACGTAGATGATCTTGAGAAAAGGATTCCAGCCCCTCTGCCTGGCTGCTTTCTCTAGAATCCTGATGAGAGACAGGGAATGATGAGGGGAAAGGATGCTAGTGGGCCTGGCCAAACCCCAGGGCTTCCAGCTGGCAAATGGGGGTGTCCATGAAATACTTTGCCCTCAACAAAGCACTTTGTTAATTATGAGCCCAAGATAACAGTTATAGTTGTACTATAACTGAAAACAGCTTACAAAAGTTTGTGGACAGGTATACACAACACAATACAATCTCAGCTATGTAAAATAAAGCATATTAAAAAGCATAAAGGCAACATGCTAAAGTGTCAGTTGTCGGATGGGACACTATGCAACATTATTCTTCTTTCTACTTTCCAGTTATTTTTCCAATTTTTAATAATTGTATTGCTTCGATGTCTGAACATTTCACATAAAATTTAAAAATATGTTCATTAAGATTTAGCAAATTTCAGTTTTTGGCAAAAGGGGAAAATGAACATTCCATTTTCAAAATAAATAACCATCTGTCTTACAAAAGACTTTGACCGTTGCCCTGATGGTGCAATTTGGCAATTAGTAACTGGGAGGAAGACTTCCAAAGGCCGGTGTGAGCAGTCTGCCCCAGGCCCCTTTCTCTGGGTCAAATCATTCTCTCTTTTTCTTCCGTTAAATATTCTGGTCAGTCATAGGTGTTTAGGGAATGTGGAAGAAGGAGATATAAGGAGAATAAAACTGTTAGAAACCATCAGGGTAAACAAACTATGGTCAAAACTACTTTTAGAGGCTGAACTGCCCATACTTGGAATAAGTAGCTGTGAGTGTTTCACACATGAGGCTTGGGAAAATCTCAAGCACATGCTTGAGTGAAGAGCTTAGGCCTTAAGGGTATCAATTCTTTCAGTTCCCTCAATGCAGCCAAAAATACCAACCTCAAGGAGGGTGAGGGCTTGGCTTTAGGGGAAGGACAAAGTGGAGTTTTAAATACACCTTCCAGTGCGGCTGCCCTACTCATCTCCAAACCCTGCCTACTGGAGCCTTGGAGGAAGGGTTAAGGTTCTTTTCATTCACCTGAGCCTTTCCAGGGGTGTCCAACCTTTTGGCAGCTCTGGGTCACACTGGAAGAAGTTGTCTTGGGCCACACATTAAATACATGGCAACACGTAATCACACACACACACACACACACACACACACACACACACACACACTCACACATCTGATAATGTTTCAAGTAAATTTACAGTTTTGTGCTGGGCTCATTCATAGCCATCCCGAGCCGCCCGCGGCCGGCGGGCCGCAGGTTGGACACCCCTGCAAGTCTCTTCTGTCTGGAGAAAGCCAAGCTCTCTCACAGGAGATCAGGGATCTGCCCCTCCTGTCTCAGCAGCAAAGCTGCAGGTGCCCAAGCAGGAACCCGAGGCTGGATTTAAGGGCAGGAAGGGGCGAAGAGCAAGGCAGAGAAGAGGTGGGACCAGGCCACCTGGATGGATGCTGCGGGGATCGCATCTGGTATATTTCTCTTGGAAACACTTGTCCCGGCTGTAATTTTTCTACTAGAGGGTGGAGGCAAACACGGTGGACACGCTGGTGCTAGCCCACCCCACCACCCACTGCCCACCACCCACTGCTAACTCTGGGTCAAGGTAGGAACTACCAGGTGAAAGTAGTTTTCCTTTGGTTCTGGCGGGAAACCGAGAGTGAGGGGGAATGTCTGGGAGTGCCAGCTGAACACAGCACAGATGCTTGCGGGTTGCCACACAACAAACACCAGGGAAAACGGGGGCCAGGAGGACAGAGGCGTGGACAAACGAGGGCAAGGGAACAGACTGCCTCGAGCTTGCGTAGCAAGGTGGGCTGATACTGCCGAGAAGCGGACCCCAGAAAAGCGAGGTCGGCGTGGAGAACCTGAACCCCGGCCCAGCACCGGCGCGGTGGCCGCTGTGCAGGCGCGGGGTGGCCGGAGAGGGGCCCCAGGGCTCCACCGGGCGTCGGGGTGAGGGAGCGGCAGGGTGGGTACCTTGGTGCCCTGGTAGAAGTCGTCCACGGACCTCGTGCCCATGAAGGGGAACTGCATGTGGGTGTGCGTGTCGATGCCGCCGGGCAGGACGAGCTTGCCCGCAGCGTCCAGGACCCGCAGCCCGGCGGGCGCTGCCCCGGGCGGCAGCAGGTCGCGGCCCAGCGCCCGCACCACGCCGTCCTCTACGAGCACGTCGGCCGCCTGCGACAGGTCGTCGTTGACCACGCGGCCCCCGCGGATCAGGAGCCGCGAGGGAGCTGCCATGGCAGGGGGCGAGCTGGGGGTCGGCCTCCTTCAAGATACCCGGGGGCGGTCCGCAAGCTCCGGCTCCCTCCCGCTGCAAACCGCGGCGCGTCCGGAGTCCCCGCCCGGGGCCGGGCAGTTAGTCACCCGGCCTCGGGACGCGGGCTCCACCCCAGGGCCGGCTGGGCCGGCGCCCAGAGGCTCGGAGGGAGCGGACGGGCTCAGCTCCGACCCAAAACGCTTCAATGTCGCCTCGCATGTCGCTTTATGGTGGACATCCGGCCATTGCAAGGGAGAGATCTTGGAGTTTTAATAGTGAAGCGCTCGCAGGGGGATGAAACCCCCCTCCCTGCCTGTGTGTCGGCGCCAACACGCACCCAAGGGGCGGGAGTGGGACGGGCAACCACGGCCAGTAGCAGCAACAGCGACAACGCCCACACCAGCCAGAAAGCACGCTCCATCCGGACTGCCTTTTAAATACACTTTGCACGAGGAGCAAATTATCACATAATCCCAGTAACTGGCAGACTGAAAGTTCAGGGTGAAATATTTTATGTGTTTGAAATGAAAACGACTTGGTACCAACCATTCTCCAGGTTTCAATGCTACAACAATGCATACCAGCAAGTTTTTCTTGGAAAGCAACAGGTAACGTGACTCCAAAGATCCAGGTGTTTTTTCTCCCAGCTTTCCGTAAAACTAGTTGAGAAGTCTTCAATGACATCTTCTATCCTCTTGGTATAAAACCGGTATCTTCCTCAGATATAAAACTGAGATAATATGTGTTCTTCCCCTCCAGATAGGCTTCTGCGGATGCATGCCAGTGTACCTCAATAAAATGGGAAGTGCCATCCACGTTTGCTCAACGAATGCAGCTTTGTAAGGGCCGACCCCAAAAGGGGGGTTGCAGAGAGGGGTGAGTGATCAAGATAAATCATATCCCTGAGCTCCAGGAGCTAAGAGGCAATGTGACACGCGTGCCTATTTCAATATATAGCGGAATACCTAACGCGGAAAAGTGTGCCTTTGAGAGAGCATAATAAGAGTCTGGAGGAAAGGGAGAACTTATTTCTGCCTTGAAGAAAATTGAATATGAAGTGTCATAGAAGAGAGATCTGAACCAGCATGTAAAGGACAGAAACACACAGCAGGGAGGGATGGGAGGAGGAATGGGGTTCTAGGTTGAGAGAACAGAGTAGGTAGAGGCACTGGGGAGGTGACGGCCAGGTGATGCTGGGGGGATAGGGTTGCAATGTCCTGACCTCCCAGCGCTCGGGGAGACCGGATGGCACTGTGCAGGGAAGGCAGTGATGCAGATTTTCAAGGGCACCCAGATCAAAGGTCGTAGAGAGGTTGGACTGGGGTGGACACCTGCTGTCCTAGCGTCTCTCGTCCTTATCCAACAGTCGCTGCAGTGTCTTTGGTGGGAAATCCTCCACCGGCATTTTCAGAACATTTGCCTTGATGGAACTGATGGGCCCTCTGGCTCTGAGACTCACCCGCTCAGCTGAGCCAGCTCTCCAGCCACAGCAGGAAATCCTCACAGCCACAGCGGTGTGGTCAGGGGTGGGTGCCTGCCCCAGGCAGACTCCTTGTGCCCGACGAGAGTGGACCCTAAGACTCCTGTAAGATCGAGCTGCCCAGAAGTTTGTTCCTTCCCCTTGGACTTGAATTTGGAAGGGTGTAAACCAGAGGCTCTGGCAGCTGTGTAGACAACACAGGGACACCGTCCTTTGGAGAACCGAGCCAACACAGAGAACAGGTGGAGAGATGGAAAGAGATGGGGTTCTTATGGTCTTGTTGGCGCTCCCAAAACAAACATGCCTGAAGTCCCCTCCCCTAGGTTTCCCCTGTTTGCTGAAGCTGGTTTACTTTGGATCTTGTGTCATTTTCAGCCGACAGCCTAGGACGATGCCTTTGAGTTTGGAAGCCAGGCGGGCACATGTGACCTCAAGATGGCATTTTTGATAGTGAAATGCAAGGTATTATTATTACCAAATTTCTTCAAGCTTCAGGTTGCACAGGTTGTGAAATGATTAAACATTAGACAGCACCAATAATTTCAAGTTCCATAGATCGGGCTCTCAAGCCAAGAAAAAGAAACCCAAGAAAGTTATGCAATATTGTCAGAAGACCACTGTGTGAAGGTGAAAGGAGTAATTATAAATATAATGAAACTTACAAGCTCTGCCAGTAAGCATCGCCCTAGGAAAGTAAGATTAGACGCCAGGGCAGTTGTGAAATCCCTCCCAAGACTGCCCAGGGGAGTGATTTCAAAGGCTTCCTTGTCTTAGACACTTTATATGACGAAATGCCCTGCAACACAGCACAGAACGAACTCCCCACGTTTAAAGAACATGAACTTTCATTAGAAGCAGGTCTGTAGGATGTCCCTGAAGCTGGAGGAGATGGTTCAGGAAGAGCGTGGTGGGCCAGCTTCAGGAGTCATGCGGGCTGGTGGAAGGGGTGGCCCCCCCTTTCTGGGTGTTCTTGGCCCCCCCAGGTGGAAGGCTGTGCCTGGGCAAGTGTGCTCAGCGGGCCATGTGTCCTCAGAACACCCTCGCCTCCCTTTTCTTTGCCCTACTCAGCCACCTCCCTACCCAGCCACTCGGAAACATGAGAAGGAAAGAAGAATCAGGGAGACACTCCATTTTGGGCAGATGCAGGGAACAAGACTTCTGCTATGTTTGCCAGTGAAATAATCAATTACTTGATTGAAGTCTGTCTGAGGACACTTTACATAAATCCCTCTGAAGCCGTAGGGGACATGTTCTAAGACCCCCAGGGAATGCCTGAAAACTGGGATAATCCCAAACCCAGGACAGAGGGAGACGGTGAGATTTCATCACTCTACTCAGAAGGGCATGCGATTCAAAGCTTATGAGTTGTTTATTTCGAAACTTTCCATTTAATATTTTCAGACCACAGTTGACTGTGGGTAAGTGAAACCAAAGAAAACAAAACCATGAATGAGGGAGAACTACTGTCTTCCCCAGTGGGCTAATTTTTAAGGGAGAGTGACCATGACTGTGAACGCTTAACACAGAGAAACATACCTACTGTGAAGTACAGGTGAGAGCCACTTGTCAGGAAGACCTTCCCAGCCCCAACTGATGGTCTAAAGGGACAGCAAGGTGGAGGGACAAACTGTGACTCTTTGCTGAGTGGTTCTGGGGAAACAAACTCACCGCGCCCTTTTGTATTTAAGTCTGCAGCCATCCTGGAGTCACTGAGTTTGCTCTTGCTGTTCTCCTGGCCCGTCCCCACTCCCACTCCAGGGCCCAGGCCCTGTTGTTTCCACCTGATGGAAAAGCTGAAGGGATGGTGATGGCCTGTGGATGAGACCGGCAGGCAGAGCTGAGCGTCCCCAGCCAGTACGCTGGCCCTGGGGTCTGAAGGAAGCCCCAGTCCCCAGGCCCACACTGGGATCGAAGTCTCCGGCAGGGCAATGAGGTTATACCTGAATCAGCAATAGGAGAGAGGGGGTGAGCAGCCCGGAAGGGTGGAAAAGGAAGTTGAGGAATTACAGTCTAACCCTGGCTCTGACACCAGCTTCTGGAGTGAGCTTGGGCAAGTCACTCCCAGGGCCTCTGTCACATCAACTGAAGGGTGAGTGGCTGTTTGAGAAGAGCTGGTAAGACCCACCCTTCAGGCTTTTACAGTTTGTGATTCTGTGAACGGGGACAGAAGCCCATCCAGAGAGTGCCTGGCATAGTCTTAGTGTGAGTCTCTTCTCGGGTCGAGATGAGCGAACTGGAGACCAAAGGGCTTGCCTTCTAGATTTTGGACTGTTCTGCTGGTGTTCACTGCACTGAGATCTGTTTGCGAAGGCGGCCACAGGCCGCGTGCGGCACCTGTAATCACTGGGGCTGATCTCAGCAGACTGGTCTCGGCGTCCTTGCGCTGATAAGCGGGATGACATTTTCTCACCGTTCAGCAATCACATGCATGGCAGGCGGGAGTGGCCCTGTGACTCGGGCCACCGCACAGCTGGGGAGGGCATGCTTGCCTGAAGCACCTCCTCTGGGCAGAAGGGGGAAATAGTGGCCTGGAATAACCCTACCAGCAGCAGCGGCTGCTGAGGTTTACGTGACCTCTTCTGCTTTTTCCCTTGTGGTTCAAACTGGCCTCACCCAGCACCCCGACTCCCCTGCCTCCTTCTCCCTTGAATGTCCGCTCCTTTAACTATTAATCCTTGAGGACAATGAGGGTCATGTCAGCACCAAATCATCTTAGGAATGAAGACTCAGGTCTGTTGTCCAGAAACAGTTTCAGACAAACTAGAGATGACACTTGGGCCTTAGTTGTGTTTCAGCTCCAGGACCAGAAAAGTGGCAAAACCGGACAAAGTGACACCGTGGCTGACATCAGGACCATGCACCAATCAGCTACCTCCTCCCCTAGCACTGACCCGTCGGTAGAGACCATGTCCTGGACCATGATTCTAACTGCCTCAGTCACTGTGATCAGTGGTCCCTCCCTCCCCTATATAACCCATGCCCTGGAAGCCATATGGAACCTGGTCTTTGAGCGTTAGCTCACCTCTGACTCTGGGATTGCTCCACTTCCTGAAAAGAAACCCTGACTTTCTTCATTGCAAACTCCTATTCAGGTCTTCTTGGGCTTTGATGCGGTACAGGCAAACAAACCCCAGTAGTCTGGTAACAATTTCCTCATTTCAAAATCCTTAACTTCATGCCATCTGCAAAGTCCCTTTTGCCATATAAGGCAACGCTCACAGGACCCAGGAACTAAAAAGCTATCCAGACAACTGCGGGGCTTACCACTGCTCTCCCCGAACGAGGAACACAAGTGAGCCACAGGACCTGGCTCGGCTGGAATGTTTCTTCTGTCCGCATGGCCAGCAGCACTAACAAGTGCTTCCAGAAAGTCTCCTGCTCCTCTCAGTTGCATTGTGCCATGGTTCCCACACTATTTTGGAGCTTTTTTAGCAAAATATACTCCAGGATTATAATAATACTTAAGGAAATCATGAGAGTGCTCCCTTAATTAGAAAAAGTGTAATGAAGTAAAATAAATATGCTGGGACTTTGGGGCCAGGCTGATCGGAATTTGAGTCGTGGATTTATTGCTTATCATCTGTGGATTCTTAGCTAAGGACCTTAACTGTCTAAGCTTTGTGTTCCCCTAATGGTAGTGCTGACCCAGGAGAGGAAGCCTGTATGCTTTAAATGAGATAACACATGTAAGGCCATAGCATAGAGCTTGTTAGATGTTATTAGCAAAACCAATTGTTTTACTTTTCTATTCTAGCAATTTTCTTCAAATTAATAGTTTTACCCATTGAGCATGAGATCCACTGCATATGAAATGCTCCTACTGATCTTGAGAAAAATTTTCTTAAGAGGCAAGAGTGTTACCAAAGCTGCCTTGGTCCTTTAGAGAAAGCCTCAGAGGCAGAAGAAGTGAGCCAGCTGGCCAGGGTGGACTCAGCTGACAAGCTACAGAGGCAAAAGAAGGCCCTTGGAGACAGGTTCAAGGGTTCGTTAGCCTGGGATGAGTTGCCGCTGCCCACTGCTCCCCTGGTTGCAAGTCTCCTGAAAACCTTTAGAGATTAGGAAGAACAAAGCAAAGATACACACCCAAGAAAAGAAGTGTGTGTGTGTGTGTGTGTGTGTGTGTGTGTGTGTGTTGTGGGGTGGGGTGGGGTGAGGATGTGCTCCAGGGAGAGCACACACTGGGTCCTTTGTCTTAAGGGTTTTCATCTATTTTTTTAAAGGTGAGAATTTTAGGGAAGGCCTCAGGGGAGGATCTCAATAATCTAAATAGACTATTCATCAGCTTTCCAGGTGTGTCCCTTAATATGCTGATGAATCAAAATGAGTGTATAGAGGAATCAGGGTTATTCTCTGGTTAGTTTTGAAACAGGGTCAGAGGGGGGCCCCAAGTAGGGATTTGGAATAGGGTCCAGAATTCAAGGTGTCCAGGAAATATTAGAAAGATATGTAAAATGTCTTCACCCTTTCCCCCACAGGTGTGAGTTGGGTGAAGGGGCATATGGAGCAGGAACATGCAGGGCTGTTTTGGACAGCAATGGCTTTGAAGCTAACCAAGCTAACCTCCCGCATGGTCATTTAGCATATCTATAGCCTTTAACTGGTTGCATAGATATGCTAAATAGCTGTGACCATGCCTTGAGCCAGGGGGTGGAAGTGATTTCCACCCAAGATGTAACTGGGGTGCAGATCCCCTTGGTTACAGTGCCTGCATGAGAGCTTGGACAAGATTGGCTCCATGACATGGGGCCACACCTGCCCAGACTTAGGATGGCAGCCCAGTAAACCTGGTATATAACACAGGAATGCTGGCAGGTGTAACTGATTATAGGAAGAGTTCCCCCACTGACGGAGAACCATGCAGCAGAGAGAACCATGCGGCTGTGGCCAGAGCGGATACCCCTGCAGCTTTGGTGGGGGAGAACCCCACGGATTTGGGGTGTCCCTCTGGCCATGGGGCTTAGGACACAGGAGAGACTTTGCCTGGAAGAAAAAGGGTGAAAGGACTCTTGCTAGTGGGCCCACATGGGTCTGGATTAACTGGAGATCCTGGCGGTGACACAGCTGATGGTGCCGGGAGCCTGAATCACGGACTTCTAGTTCTTTTCCTGAGGTACGGTACCCAGATTAGGGCGGAGGGAGAAGGACTGTGTGTGTCTGTGGGTATCCTAAAGGACTTTGATATTTGAATGAAGACATTAGGTCACTACTTTAAGTCTGTACAGGTTTAAATAAATATTTCCTTTCCTTTTCACAAATCTCTGGCATTGAGAGACATCTTTGCTCTGGTGGTTGACAAGCGAAACTAGTGGGGGGTCCTTTCAGTAATAGTATATTCTACCCCCCCTCCCCTTTGGCCTTGTTCTGTAACAATTTCACCTCAAAGAATGACACCAAAGAGAGACTAGGACAGAGGTCTGCTGTGGAATGGTCTGGAATGTGTAAACCTTTTACTCCTGAACATCCTTGGTTCGGGAAGACAAACCTTGTCATTTATTAACTGGCTGTAAATTGCTCAACCACTTAACGATTTGTCTCTGTTTCCACAATCCACTTGCCAAGGAATTTTCCTAGCTTCTTAGTATCCTGCCTCAAAAGTAAATAAACAAAAATATATACTGTTCAGATTTTTGCTATACACACAAAAATAAGGTTGAAATTTTGCATTTTATGCATTTTTAAACATTTAAATAGAGCACAATACGCAGAGTAGAACTGATCTTTTTTAAGTGCACAGCACTATGAATTTTGACAGAGACATGCAGTCGCGTAACCACGACAATCGAGATGGAGAGTATTTCCATCACCCCCAAAGTCTTGTGCCCCTTTGCAGTTATTCCTCCCCCACAGTCCCCACCCCTGGCAGCCACTGATCTATCTCCTTTCCACCCTTCGCATTTTGACTTTAGACTTGAACACAAATGACTAACCTGCAGGGTGTCTGCGAGAGAATTTATCTACTTTGTTTTTACATTCTTCCTGTGCCCTGAACTTGAAACAGAACCCCTGAGGCAGTGAATGTCTAAGGCAAACGGGATTCAAGGCAGACCTTACTGGGGTTTACTCCAACTTTTTTAGGAATCTTGGGAGATGCTGGGTCACACAGCAGCTGGGGGCGAAGCGAAAGCAGCAGATGCTGTTCTGGAGCCCTTACGATGCTGTTTAAAATTATGTGGTTATGTAGACACGACCGTGTTGAGACTCTGATGCCCCAGATGCGTGAGGAAATCAGTGTAAAAGCCGAAGCACAAGGCACGGAGGGACAGTGGTCAGGGCGTGGGTCCCCGTACCTTGTACTAGTCCCACCTCGGTTCCCTTCCTTCCTGTGACTTAGAACGTACTTACCTCTGCACTATCTAAGCTAATTTTATGCTATTATTTCCCCAATATAACTGGGTAGTAATGGAGTTGTGTATGTTTCTTCATTGAAATTGTTCATCTTAAAGAAATACTTCTTGGAAGAAAATAATTTTCTTGACATAAAAGGCATTTAGCTCAGTACCAGACACGGTGAACGCAGTGAAAATACAGGTGAAGGATACTGATCCTGGACCCACGGGGTCCGTTTGCCTGCGAGCATCACAATCCAGTAAGACATGAACAAGCTCACATGGAGGGTTTATTTTTAAGATGTCACCCATGCCCAAAGTCACAGGTGAGCTAATGCTCAAAGATCTGGCTTCACGATAGCTTCCAGGGGATAGGTGATCTAGGGGAAAAATCATGAATCATGGAGACTAAGGGAGTCAGGTCATGGTCTCTACCGATTGGTCAGTAAGCACTAGGGGAGGAGGTAGCTGGTCAGTCCTGAGCCAGCCGTGGCATCCCTTTGTGGGTTTTTGCCATCTTTCTGGGCCTGAATGTTATCTCTAGATTGACTGAAACTCTGCCTCAGAGGCTTTATTTCAAAGATTATTTAATGCGGACCAGAATCATTGTCCTGAGAACTTAATGATTAAAGGAATGGGGGAGAGAGAGGGAGGCAGATGAGTCGAGCTGCTGGATGGGGCCAGTTTGAATCAAAAGGAAGGAGAAAAGTTCCTATGAAGGATGAAGTTTCTATACAGAAGCAATAGGACCTCACTACCCATCTTTGCACTTCAGGGCTCTCATCCGTGAACTGCTGTAAAACGATAACTACACCCTCTCTATCTCTGGCGACCTGTCACAGGGGCATGTGAGAAGAGCCCACTACTCTCATTTTCACCTAATTGACATTATCGTGCAGGACTCCACAGAGGAACTCTTACACGTTTGATCCATAGTAATAAGAACACAGTTAAAAGTTTATTGTAGCCTTCTTTGGAGCTCCAAACTCATAGTCAGCCTCATTTACAATTTAATTTACAGTTTTGCCTTCAAAGTAGTTCATCTGAATGTTACAAAAAACAAGTAATTGAACTGAGTCGCAAAATAAGGAACTGTAATGCTGAAATAAACCACTAGATGGCTTCTGGCAAAGACCAAAACGGGCACCATTTTAAGATAGGGCACCATGATTTAGAAAATCTAACACAATCATGTCAAATTTCACGACTTCTATAAGAGTACATCTATCTAAAAAAAATCTAAGTACCAATGGATTTGTTTTGCAGAACTGAACAAGTGGTCTCCAAAGCTCCAATGGAAAAATAAACAGGAATATTTGAAACACTTGAAATTATAGTCATTAAAACAGTCTAGGACTGGTACAAAAAGGCAGATCAATGAAAAGAAATGGAATTTGAGACTCAGAGCACAGTCAAATAATATGGAAATGTACTATATGATAAAAGGGTCATTTTAAACAGTAAAGAAAGGATGGATTTATGTGATAAACAGCTTTGGGGTAACTAGAATAACCTGAGGAAAAATGATAGAGACACATTCAGGCTAGACCAATGATCTAATGTGAAGAATCAAATAATAGAAATACCTAACTTTGCTTCTAATATTACTCTGATATATTTTTCCTTGAAAAGGTTACAGAAAAAGTATGCATAGTATAATACAATTTGCATATATATGGATATATGTAGGTATCTCTATGGCATTTCTGGAGGGGTATAGAAGCTGGTATTGGTATCTGTCTCTACGAAGGGAATTAAAAGACGGGTGTCAGGGGTAGGAGAGAGGTGCACTTTTTACCTTCTGACCCAGGAAGACTTATTAGTTAATAAAAAAAAATTGAACACATGCCAGGAAACTAACTCCCCAAAACCTATACACAGTAGTATATTCTATAGGGTCTGAAATGCATCCAAACATATTATGTCAAGAGAACTGATTGAGTTACGGTACCTTTGAAGATATATCAGTCAGAGGCAGTTTTCTTTCAAAGACAAAACCATATGCAGGTCCTTAGGGATTCTAATCCTCCAGTACTGGTGTAAGCTACTATCTTATTATAAGGTAGTTAAGGAAGAATGTCACCTCCCTTTCGGTTTTTCTTCCAGACGTGCTACATATTTTATGGCCTGAATTTGTAGATGCACCAAAAGAAACAAAAATAAAGAGCAACTTTGATTTAAAAAGAACCCCAAAACAATACCAAAAAAGTCATTTTAATTTTTGATACATATTAAAACATTTCAGTCAGTTCTTCCTGACAGCATAACACGACAAATACACAAGACCTCAAACATGCTTGAAAATGACATTCAGCAAAGTATTTAAAATTTAATAAATAGCCATAATCACACACAAATACATTTTTCATACTCAATCATTAAGATACTAAAAGACACCTAAAGAATAAATAAACGAGAACTGACAATAAAAATAATGTGGGGCTTGCAAATCAGTCTACTTAAAACAGGGGTCTGATCTAAATGATTTCTTCATTCGTTTTTCAACGTGTAGCATGATCCCCCTCATGAATAAAATATATCGAAAGTCACTTTCTTATAATAATGCAGTCTTTAAATACAACAAAATAAATATAAAACCAGCAAAGCAATTTCAAGTTGTAATAAAAATGCCCCCCACAATCCCCAAAGCTATGGAAATATATAGTCACTGTGGTAGCAAATAATAGTATTTAAAGTGATAGTGCATGTGCACTAAACTCATCTGAGACTTGTACGATTTCAGTGCAAATCCCTAGGGTCCAATGCAAGCATAACCCTGAACCAGGGAAAGACACGACCAGCTGGAACTTATCTTGTACAACTTCTGTACATGTTTTATAAAGTTTAAGATTTAATGCATAGTAGAATATCTTCATCCTGTCCCTAAATAGAGATGAAAGAAAGAAATGACTTGGGATTTTACCATTTGGTTTGTACCATATCAGAGTATTAAAGTCAATATTAAAAAAATCTATAAAAGAGTTCTGTTTCTGCCATTAATTTCATATCACTGCATGTTCAACATAAGAGAAAAAATTTTAGACAAGGTTTTTTTCCCCTCTGACAAGCTCTTATTATGATGAAATCCAACAATATTTAGACAAATGTTATATAAATAAAAACACAGGTGAATATAAGGTTCTTCTTCCCCCTTTGGGAGCTCAACAACAACCTTAACATCTAATGTATTAAGTAACAAGATGTACTGGCAAAAGCAGAAAGGGTTCAATTAAAAGAAGCTCTTTTGTACAAATAATTTTTATAACAGGGATGATCTGACATCAAATGAGTTTCAGCAGCCATATTTCTAACACAAACTACAGTACCAGGATAAAAACAATGAGAAACCAATGGAAGAACATTACTGAACAACATGAATACATAATGCATTTTCAGCTGCTAAAATAGCAAACTCTGAAGTTCACAGAGTTACAAATGGTTCAATTTAACCATGCAGGCTAACATATAATATGAAATCACCCTGCATCTTTTTTCTGTTTAAATTAATACTAGTTTAACTGTAAAGTTACAAAACAATAAATGGATATTGCTCCAACTTGTGTACACTCTCCCTCACATGATTCGTACCTAACAAAGTAACAAAGCCTCATCATCACTCGTTTCATTTTTCAACGTTGCTTCTAAGCAAGTGTCCGGAATCTGTGCCGTGTGGACAATACCACAGCGCTCACAGGGGCCGTCTCGGTTAGCTGGCCTCACTCCAGGGTTTGTTGCAGAATACGGCTGCCTAAAGCCTTGTCCTTGGTCTGAGGGAGGATCAAGAAGAGGTCTAGAGCAGTCATTCACATCAAAGTCTGAAGCTCCATCAGAAACTGGAATTAGCATTTCAACATCATCATCTTCTTCTCTTCCACTGGCCCCGTTATCAAGCTGTCTCAAAGGACTCTGGTTCTGACTGACGGAGCTTGACCGCCCTAATGTAAAACGTACCCAACGCAGCCCCTGAGTCATACGACTTAGTGCACTTGTGAGCTGGTGTCGGGCTGGACTCACACTTGGGGGTTCCGCACTGCTCGCATCCCTTCCATTATCCGTGTGACCGCCTCGGGTGCTCTGGGTTGAGGAACTTCCACTGGCTCCCACCGTGGCTTCCACTGCTGTTGTGGGAGGGACTTTCTGGGGCAACGGAGCTGCAACCCCACCGGACGCTCCTGCCGCGTCTCTTCTCTCAGCTTCCGTGTCGGTGTCGTCTGACTCCGTGGAAAACAGACTTCTGTGAGTGTGGTTTCTTTCAGGTTCTCTGCTGGTGCTCTGACTAGAGACAACCTCGTCACCATCCGCTGAGACCAGAGCCAAAGACCCCGAATGACGTGATCTTGCAAAATTAAAGATGCGATTCCAAATGCTGCTGGATCTGCCTGCCATGGGGAGTCTGATGGAAGTGAATCCGAGCTGCGATCGCACAGCCAGCCTCAGGTTTTCCAGAACAGAGGCCTGCAAAGAGCAGACGAGACTTTTAACATAGCCGACAATGAAGTAGTAAGACTGAAAACACCTTCTAATAAAAACGTGTTGTGGCTACAAATGCTGTTGCTACTGTTGGTGTGTATGGAGGGCGAGGGAAGTTTTCCTACCTGCACAGGTTCACCCACTACAGAATCTAATCTAGAACTTGAACCACTGCACACCGGGTTTAAGATTTTCTTAACATTTCATTTCTTATATGCAACTGCAAAGTGGTCGTTAACATCAATTATAACAACAACTTATTTCAAAACCCCACATAGTGATCCAAACCTAAAAGTGCACCAAGGTCAGAACATAAAATTACTTGAGACTCTTTTAGCTAGGAAGGTAGAAGAACCTCTGCCATAATTCATGAAATGACCTACAGCAACAGCAGTGTGGAAACTAGGCCCATTATCTGTTTTTTTTTTCCCTGTTGTTGTTACATAGTGAGTAACAAGTGAGACTTGACTGACAAGTTAAACATGTGAAAATTAGATTTCACAACAGTTGATTCTCAAGGATTTTGTTGAATGAATGGATCCTGAAGATTTGTAACAAAAAGAATTAATATATTTGCTATGTGGCTCGGGAATAAAAAATTAATTAACCTATTTGTAATGTAGCACAGGAGACAAAAAAGGCTAAAGAAATAAATCTGTTTATAGCACTACACAAGGTACCTGAGACATCTGAATTCCTTCTTATCTTTAAAGATTAAGTTTTATTTTCCACAGTTCAGCATTAAGCATAAGTTATATCCTTATTCTTTGCAATTGTTGATTTTTAATTAGTACATATGGGAGTGATTTAATTAGTATATATTTCCCAACTGAAATAAATATCTCCTTTTTTCTAGATGAATGAGTTTGCAGATTATTAAAAACGAAACACACGGTATTATATACAACACTTGCTGAGCTCCATCTAGTGGCTATAGAAAAGTGGTGCTTCAATCTGGCATTTAGCACTGAAAATCGGGTATTTCCAGGGAACACTTTTTCAGATGCTGATCCAGTTTTCCACTGCCTTTCCCCCTACAGGTGAAAATACGGAGGATGTAAGAGCACAGGGTCTTCATTGCTCTTAGTGACTGCTGTGGAATTTATTTGTGATTTCCACTCAGGCCTTTCAAACAAAACCCCAGGAATATAATGCACTGAAAGCTAAGAGCCACTATGATAGGAATACTTCACAGTCTGGCCTTAGCGAGGCACAGACTGTCACTGAGAAATTCAGCCATTGGCACATGTAGATTTGCTATACAAGTGACTAAGATTTTCCGCCTATAAGCAGTACCTAATTATTAAAAAAAAGAAAGAGAACAAGTGGGTCGCTTCCCTGAGAAACTTCTGCAGAAGTTTTGTCCTCACCATGCAGCATTTGGGTGCTAAGGCTGTGTGTGCTCCCTGCACACATCCAGCACCGAACAAGAGGCGCCTCCAACAGCCCCCCTTTCATGAGCTACTGCCCACAGGATCAGCCATGCCTTTGGCTCACGTTAATACCGGCCTGGGCATTACAGTCGTCCATGGTGAAGCGAAGCTCACTACTTCCTTAAGTCTGCTTAATTTATAATGGCCAATTTAACATTAGATTCCACTAGAGGATCTCATAAATGTTTCAGGAATAATTTCATCCATTTTAGTTTATGAAGCAGAAGAAAGCATTCCTCAGAAAGCACTTCTATTTTGAATGAAATGGTAATTTAGATTATTTTCTCAAGAACTGCTCTGCCAATTTGACTCATTTGTTAGCAAAAGTTTCCAACTTGGGAGTTTAGTCTCATTAGCTGAATAAAATCTAGCTTATTGTTCTTAAATATTTTATTTTAAAGCCCTGTTGAAACAGAATTCCCTCACAAGGGTAAATTATAACCCTGAATGGTCCAGCATGTAGTAAAAATTAAACCTTACCCAAAGGGAGGTCTGACTTTTACTCTCTGCTTCTAGATGTCCTCTTAGCCCTTGGAATGCCACCTATGGTAGGAATGTTATGGCCTGGAGCCTTGAGCCAGCCACACAGTAAAAGTGGACCTCAGGTGAAGGCTCGGTTTTAGACCAACAACCAGATGCTGGGTGGAGGCTTTGGGTCGGCAGTATCAGTCAATCTCTGGATGGGTTAGACTTTGAGATCAGCCAGGTGGCAGTTAGTCATGACTACGTGGTGGATTCAGCCCCAGTAAAAACTCTGGATACCGAGTCTCGGGTGAGCTTCCCTGGTTGGCAACATGCCTTGCAAACTATCCTGCAACTGTGTCAAGAGTGACACTGTCCTGTTTTACGGGAAGAGGATAATCGGAAGAGTTTTGAAGCTTAACCATGAAACCTGCCCTATGTGTCGCTTTCTTCAGTTGGTTTAATCTGGGTCCTTTCCCTGTAATAAACTATAATCACTGAGTACAATAGCTTTCTGAGTCTTTCCAGTGAATTATCAAACGTGAGGATGGCTTTAGGAAACCCTGAACTTGGTGTTAGCAGTAAGGACTATCTAAGGTGAACTATACTCCCTCTAACTTCACAATTGGCTAAGCTCTGGAAGGGGCAGCGGTGGCGGGTGCTAAGTGGTGCAGAGAGCAGATGGGGCCACTGTCTGAACTCCTGGCTGAAAGGAGACCTTCCCCAGGGCAGAGACAGTGTGCAGAGCCTGAAGTCACGGTTTTCCCACTTTGCACACAGAATTCCAAGCAGTGAAATTTAGCAAATTACATCTACAGAAATGTTTTAAAACTACAAATTCTCACCAAAGATTTCCTAAAAGATGCAAATAAGGTAATCAGAAATCTAACTTACCAAAAAGAAAATGAGCTTCCATGTTTAACAAAATCAAATCACTGGAAAACACTGTTTGTCAATTTTTCTTAATTCTAATACCAGGAACAATTTTTATTAATGAATTTGGATGAATTTACATTTTGAATGTGTAAACCCTTACGAATTCTGGAATAATTTTAAGCAATGAAAAAAAATTTTTTTTAATCATAACCAAAATTTAAAGAATTCAGAAACATTAATAAAAAATAAGTTATATTTAAGGAAAATGGTATGAATTCTTAAACACTGTAAAATCCAGCTGTAAAACAGTTTTACCACAAGCTGGGTGAAAATGATAACTTCAGTTCAATTACCGTGAATTACTACTGATTATTCTAGCATGTTACTAATATATCACTAGCATATCAATTTTAGTATTCATTCTTAAATCTTCTAAATGTTCAGCTGAAGTAGAAAATAATTTGGAAAAGTTCACTTTTGGTTTTAATGTACTACATTAACCTAAACAGTAAAATGCTTAAGAGTCATATAACCAAATGAGAAGAATGAAAAGTATACTTTTGTATGTTGTGGTATTTGTTAAAATACAATGAAACAATTATGATTTCAAATTATCACTTTATGCTTGATTTCATGGCAAAAATTTTGAGTCGAGGGTCCTTTATTGCACATACAAGTACAGGTACCATTTTCGGAGGCACTAAAATAGAAACCATGAGCTGCAATGTACCTGGTTAGGCGAACAAACAGGAAAGTCTTCAACTGGTGGAATTAAACCCTGAGCGATCAACTGTCCGTAAGAGGGAGGGGCTTCTCTTCTTAGCAATTCTGCTTCCACTCTTGACAACTGCGTTTCAAATGACCTTTGAGGACAAATGAGGGGATAATAAAAAGGGTTTAAAAGAGGTATGATAAGCCAGATTTTTAAAAAAATCATCACTAATTAAGAAATGTGAATCTTAATACACGTGATAATTTTAAATGCTTAGTCAACCAACGTTTACTGGTGTCTACACCCCCTACACCGAGAACACGGAGATGAAGTGGTGTGGGCTCATGCGGCTTTATAATGGGAGCCTGGGTTGTTAAGGTTTAGTGGTTTAGAAATCCCATAAAAGGTAAAGACACTAGATCTTTGAGGCCCTAAGAACATAGGGAGCTTGAGGATTTAGGTGAAAGTATTTGAAAGCTCTGAGAAGACACTTTATTCATCAAGCCCAACAAATTCATTTTCAGATAAGAGCGAAATAAGTCACTAATACACTTTCTGGAGTAACTGGTTCTTGAACTCAAGACCTCAGACTCTTCACTGTGGTCTTACTGGGCAATGCACTCAAAAGCTTCCTGGCCATTTATACTTGCCCGGAGACAGATGCAGGGTGGTGCTATGACACTGGTGTCTGTGTGCATCTACAGCCCCAGCTGTCTGGGACATGCAGTTCTTCGGTGAACACGCTGTTTGCAGCGCTCCTGGGACTGCGGGCCATTGCCTCCAAACAGCTTCCCTGGGGCCTCTCTGCAGCTTCCCCAGGTTCAGTCTGTCCACCACCACACAGACGACACCTCCCCCGAAGGGTACCCTTTTACGTTTCACCTTTTCTTCCTTACTTGAGAACTCTGACGTGTGGTTCTCACGGAGCTCCACAACACAGCACTGGCCTTGTGTTCCAGGCTTATCTCCTATTAGTGGTTCACATGTATCTTAGCTCCGGACAAATTAAACCACGTGCCTACTCTCTGAGCCATGCTGGCATCCCTCCTTCCATGTGTTTTCCCAGCCGACTTTTTCATTGCAAGACCTTTTCCGTACCTGCACTCTACCCACAGATTTCAAATGTCACTTGTTCAATGAGGGCCTCTCTGATGCCCCTTCTGAGAGCAGGTATCTTTGGACTTCTACACCACTCGATTTCATAGATCTTAGAGCACGTGCATTTTCATCATCTTATTCCACCCACCAATTCCTTTCTTTGAATTGTGAACTGCCTGTGACATTGTCTCATTCACTTCCCTATTGTCCCGTAGAGCCCTATGAACACAGTATGTCCTCAAATATTTAAAATTACCGAACGAGTATTTAAAAAAAATACAGGTGAAACACAACAACTAAGAGTCGCAGCTTGAAAAATTCCTACAAAACAGATTAATCTGAAAATAGGAACTGGTAAATACAGATGGGCTATTGTCACCTCATAATTCTAAGCATTTAGACATTTAAAAAGTGTTTAGTCTTTTGAGTCTTCAGCTTTTCACGCTAATTTTATAAATCACTAACAATTATTTATTTATTTCTAAAATGACACGAAACAAAAAGACATGGCCAATCACACAGAAGCACTTGTTGCAAGTAACTGGGCCTTATCTTTACTGCTTCGAGCAGCACCGCTACCGCTTTCTCTGGATACTGACCTCCGCTCAAACATTCTCAGGGAGTAAAGCTTACAGGTGCAGCCCAGCGCAATGACGAGCAACAGGCCGCAGATGAGGCTCCCGATGACGGCGGCAGTTATGACTCTGGTGGGCACGATGACCGGGCAATTCTCCTCGTCGCTGCCATCACCGCAGTCATCCTGAGAATCGCACACCCAGCTTTCAAACACACAGCGATTGTTTTTACAGTGAAAATTTCCAGGCTGGCAGAAAAAGCAGTTTTTTTCATCTGAGCCGTTTGGGCAGTGATTCTGGTAGTTGCAGCGATCGGAACGTGGATAACAGACGCCGTTTCGGGAGCACGGGAACTCTTCCTTCTGGCACATGGTGCAGTTGATCTCATCCCTTCCGTTTGGGCAATGCCAGTACCCGTCACAGCGCTGCTGCTCGGTGTAACAGCCCCAGTTACCGCCACAGGGTATTTCCCATGGCAGACAGAAGCCATCTACTTGGTAAGTGGCATTAAATCCCCTGGCAGCGTTCACTTTGTCTGCACAAAAATGCACCCTTATCTGTCCAGAGGAAGAAACCACGGTAAGAGGCGCATGAGAATCAAAGGCAGTTAACACACGCAAGAGCTTGTGCGGGTTCTCCTCTAACCCATCGTATATTTTCACATAGTCACCGTAACCAGTCCCGTCCAGTTTAAAGTCGGTGAAGCGTAAAATGACTTTACGGTGGTCGCCAGTGTCGATTAGCCAGGTGCAATTGCTCCCAGGAGGATAGAAGTCTGGGTAATTGGGAGAATTAAAAGTACCGTAAAAATATTTTAACCACTGCCCACATGTTGGCACATCACAGTCTATCTCGTCTCCTAGGTCCAGGCAGTCAATGTTCCCATCGCATTTTAAAGACTCGGGGAGGCAGGTGTAAACTTTGGTAAACCGAGACAGACACTGGAACTGGTTATAAGCGCAGGGCTGGAAAGAGGCAGATGTTGGGGGATTAGCTTCCTTAGCACAGATCTCTTCATCGGAACTATCCCCGCATTCGTCCATGTCGTTGCACTTCCAGGCTTCCGGAATACACTTTCCATTTCCACAGCGAAACTGATCACAGGCACAGTTCGGTTCCTCTGACTTCCCTGGGGAGGCGTGGGAGGGAGGAAGGGAGGTGGAGAGGTAAGGGGACAAAAACACACTCTTTAAAAGACACGTAATAGCCAGTGACATTTTTATAATAAATGTTAAGCCCAAGGAAAAGGGTTTCGAAAATCTTGTTTTTAAAATAGGTTGAGTTCTAATGGCAAATTAATATTGGCTCACAAATCACTTAACAATTCAATTTATTAGAAACTTATTATTTATTCCATAAAGGTCTTTGCAGTTACAGCTAAAGAGAAGAAACCAATTCTGTTTTTACAGAAAGCTATTTTACCATGAACATCCAGTAAAATGATGTAAGACCCGTGAGTCAATAGGATATGCTGCCTGAACATTTATGTTGCATAAACATCAAAATGACAGACATTTTGAAAATAAGAAAAATTCATCCATGAAAATTACCTTTTCAAAACCATTTTTTCATGTTCTTTTCTAGTTGTTTACATATATATATATATTTAAAAAACCACAATATTTTGTTATGTATACACAGCATATTTTGTAAGCCCATATTTACCTAGGTTTTTGCTAAGATTAGAAGATCAACTTTATCATGTTTATGATGTTCCATGTAATCATAACACAGCACTCTCATTTTATAATTTTTCTTGTTTTAACATAACTGCAAAATACTGCATGAATCTGAACTAAAGGTATAAATTTAATGATCACAAAACTAGGGAAAGGAGACAGAAAAAACTGAAGTGCACAGAAGGTTCTAATTATCTTAGTTTACCATCATAAACACAAAACAAGGAGGTAGAGAGAGAAAACCGAACATGAGATCCCTCTAGTCTCCAAACTGACCATGTTGGGCCAGTGCTAAACCTTCCATTAACAACTCATTTATTGGTGAGCAGGGGCAGAAGAGGTGCTCCAGAAACAAAATATTGTGTTTTTAAGAAAAGAGAGAAAAATGAACATATGTTTGCTAAACACAACCATGGAATTTTGGAAGATGTGACATTATTTACAGCAAAACATATACATAACTCTAATGCTCTGAGTTAGCCCCATTTGTTATGATCTAGTCACTATTTCTGGATATCGTTAAAAAACAGCAAAAGAAGACTTCTGATGCTCCCAACTATGAAGGTGAAACCCAGAATGCCTTTTTGTAAAGACAATGGTAATCCACAAACAAAAATATATTCTGAAGTAACTTTCAGGATATGCGTAAGCAGCAGAGAAAAAGTTCTTTTAAACATAGTACATTTAAAAGCTTTTAAAAGAAAACTGAACTTTGTTTATAAAATTAATCATTTTATTAGGATTATATGAAACACCTTTTAAGACCCAGCTTTAGGGCATGTGAACCTTTAGCTTCTAATTTCTCAATCACGGCTACCATGAGAACATAAGTCTCAAATGAAGAGTGTTAAGAAGACCAGCACCCAAGTGACTGAGCAGTTAATACTGTACAATTCTGTCCAGCATCTTACTTCTTATTAAAAAACACACCTGAAAAATACGCCAATCTGAAACCCTTTCTAGAGATGCTGTCATCGGAGTGGAACCTGATCCACACGTGGTCTTGTGAGGAAATATATGGTGGTGGGATTGTTGAGCCACAAGCCCGGTAACTTTCGATGTTCTTGTATGTTTCTATTGTCAGCCAGTCCAAACTGCATCGTCTGGACCCCTGAATATCAAAGTCCTGAAAACTACAAACAAAAAGAAAAGATTATGAGTAAGGGTAATTTTGGCAAAAAAAAATCATCACAACACAATGTAACTGAGGACTTTATTATAAGTCTCTATATATTCTTCTGGGTTTCCAAACATACAACCATTTCACCATCAGAGTGTACTGTCCACTGTCAGATTCCAAAATAATGCTAAAAAACAGGTGATAACTGACACCTTTTTGATTTCTTCTCTGTGTGTGTGTTTAGGAAAGACCACTTCTAATTCAGAACATCCTAAGTTGTTCTGTGTTTGAAGCCAAAATAGCACTCTGTAAACCTACTGAACTGAAGTGCACACAGAGAAAGCCAACAGTCTCTTAGAATAGAATGCTTGCTTAGTGAAAAGTTTACAGCCCACGTTTTTAGCAGAGCAAATAGCACAAATATCAGTAAAGTAAAAATAATTAAAAGTAAACAAACAAAATTTTCAGTGAAAAGCCCTTTGAATATATTGGTTTTTTTTTACCTAAGTTACTTCATAGATGTACCTTTATAGATGTATCCCATAGTTCACAAAATATGGGCATAAGTAAAAGCAAAATGGCAAGTAAATAAGAGCACACACAGAATTAGCCACTGCTATGAAAAAGCAGAAACCAAAATACCATTTCCCAGTGATAGTTCTCACAAAAAAAAGGAAGACCTGATTTTGTCTCCTTGCCTCAGCCTTTAAACTAAGTGATAATAAAATTAATTATCCAAGGATTATAAATAGCTGGATATTTCCTCTCTAAATACTCTGAAAAACTGTAACAAAGGCTGATGAACAATTTTGTTTCCACCTTTCACTATTATCAAAAATGACTTAAAGAATCCTTAAACACACACCTCCCTCAGTACACATGAGCGACTGTTCCTCTAGGACATATTTTCTAGCAGTAGAATTGCTAGGACAGAAGACCCACTTCTACTGTAAAGATTTTAGATACTTAGAGAAATGTTTATATTAAGTCACAACTCCACGGTGTGTGTAGGGGAGTACCTTATACACCGCAACTCTGGCAAAATGAGATACTTTGTCAAAAAACCTGCTGCCAGTTAGGTCAACAAAAGATTATCATTGCTCTATTCTGCATTTCCTTATTTATAGAGATTGAAACACTTTTTCCTGTGTTCATCAGCTATTTCTTCCTTGTGAATTGCCTTTTTATATCCTTCACCCATTACATTTTTAATTTTTATTTTTATTATTTTTTAAATATATTTTATTGATTATGCCATTACAGTTGTCCTATTCCCCCCTTCATTCCCCTCCACCCTGCACACCCCTCCCCCACCATTCCCCCCTTTAGTTTATGACCACGTCTCAAGTTCTTTAGATTCTATATTTCCCATACTATTCTTGCCCTCCCCCTATTTTCTGCCTACCGTCTATGCTACTTGTTCTCTGTACCTTCTCCCCCCTTCTCCTCCTTCCACTCCCGTCGCTAACCCTCCATGTGATCTCCATTTCTATGGTTCTGCTCCTGATCTAGCTGTCCTCTTAGTTTGCTTTTGTTTTAGGTGTGGGTGTTAATAACTGTGAGTTTGCTGTCCTTTCACTGCTCATATTTTTTATCTTCTTCTTCTTAGATAAATCCCTTTAATATTTCATATAATAAGGGCTTGGTGATTATGAGCTCCTTGAATTTGATCTTATCGAGAAGCACTTTATCTGCCCTTCCATTCTAGATGAAAGCTTTGCTGGATAGAGCAATCTTGGATGTAGGTCTTTGGATTTCATGACTTGGAATACTTCTTTCCAGCCCTTTCTTGCCTGTAAAGTCTCTTTTGAGAAATCCTCTGACAGTCTGATGGGTACTCCTTTGTAGGTGACAGTCCCCTTATCTCTTGCTGCTTCTAGGAGTCTCTCCTTCATTTGAATCTTGGCTAATGTAATGATGATGTGCCTTGGTGTGTTCCTTCTTGGGTCCAAATTCTTTGGGACTCTCTGAGCTTCCTAAATTTCCTGGAAGTCTATTTCCTTTGCCAGATTGGGGAAGTTCTCCTTTATTATTTGTTCAAAAAAGTTTTCCACTTATGGCTGTTCCTCTTCCCCTTCTGGTACCCCTATAATTTGGATGTTGGAACGTTTAAAGATGTCCTGGAGGTTCCTAAGCCTCTCCTCCTTTTTTTTGAATTCTTGTTTCTTCATCCTTTGCTGTTTGGTCATTTTTGTCTTCCTTCTGGTCCACTCCCTTGATTTGAGTCCCAGTTTCTTTTCCATTACTACTGGTTTCCTGCGCATTTCCCTTCATTTCAACTAGTTTAGCCTTCATTTGTTCTTCTAATTTGTGACTAAAACCAACCAGTTCTGTGAGCATCCTGATCACCAGTGTTTTGAACTGTGCATCTGATAGGTCGGCTATTTCTTGGTCGCTTAGAGTTACTGGCTCTGGGCTTTGAGTTCTTCTTGAGCCATGTTTTGGTCTGTTAGCACCCATTATGTAGAGGGGCGGAGCCTTAGTTGTTCACCAGGGCGGGGCCACCCAGGTTGCTAGGTTGTGACGCTGTATGTGGGGGCAGGGTCAAAGGGGGGCAATGGCGGTCCCCCCTGCTGCTTCCCGCAGCTGGGGCCTTTGCAGTCTTTCTCACTGCTCGCTCCTTCATCTGGTTTATCTGAGTGCGAATGTGTGACCGCAGTCAGCCAGCCACCTTGAGCCCTTACTGGGTCTGCCCCTCGCAACCCCATGCCTGGGATCTGCCAACCGCCTTGCACCTGGGTCGGTCTGACCGAGTTTTCCTGCGCAACCCCGTTCCGCCAGTGGCTGACTCCGCCCCTCTTACCGGTCTGGCTGAGGGTTCATTGTGGTCGGACTTGGGTATAGTTCAATTTTCTGTGTTTTAGTTGCGTTTTTTTTTACTAAAACTTTGTTGTCTTTAAACTTGGTTGTGCGAGGAGGCACAATGTTTCCGCCTACACCTCCATCTTGGCTGGAAGAGTACAATTTTTTATTTTTAAAAGAGCTCTTTATGTAGTATAAACATGTACCTATTTAGGGTGTGTCTGTCACAGGAAACACACACACGCGCACATTCTGTCTAACAGGCATCAGTGGGGAATAAAACGGCGCCTCTCCCTGTAGTTTTGCATACACTTCTCTTAAGACTAAATGCTGCTGAACACCTTTTCACGTGCTTATTGGCCATTGTTATTCTCCTGCAAAGTGTTCAAGTCTTTTGCCCATTTAATAACATTGAGTTTTCAAGTTATGAAAATTCCTTTTTATGTTCTAGAGTCAAGCCCTTTGGTAGATATGTATATTGCTAATTTTTTCTTCTAGCCTATCTGGATTGTCTTTTCATTTTCTTAATGGTATCTGTCAATAAGCACAAGTTTTGAACTTCGGTTTTAATAGAGCCTAATTTATTATCTTTTCCTTTATGTTTAGTGCTTTTATTGTCCTCTCTAAAATACCTTTGCCTACCTTAAGACCCCAAAGATACACAGTAATGATTTCTCATAATATTTCAGAGTTTTAGTGTTTACATTCACCCCTAGGATTTCTCTTGAATTAATTGTTGTATCTTTTCAGTGACAGGTTGAGATTCTTGTACTATTTTTATTCTATTGTGCAATTAAATGACTGTCTAATCATCCTGAACTTGTGGAGGTTTCATTTTACAGTTAGTGAATTGTTAGTGAGTTCACATTCATCCTTACTGAACTCTTAATTTCAGGATGTTATTGGGTATGAATCCAAATTCATCAACTTTTTCCAGAATTCAGGAAATCATCCTTTAGATGTGGGGTGCGCTTCCACTCTATTCTGCATTTCAGTCTTGTGCTTGTTTTTTGGGCAGCTCACTTGTGAAACCCCATGGATCCAACACACGATCGGAAGCAGATGGCTGCCTTCCACGGAGCCTCCGCTACGCCTGCAGGAATTTTCAAGTCTTACAGCACTGAGCTGGTAAGCTGCAAATTCAATTTTGAGGCTGGACTTTTAGTTTAAAAGATAAATATCTCCAAAAATTCTAGTTTTATGCTGAAAAGAGATCCAATGTTTGGAATCCCTATGGTAAAAAAATCCTATTCTGTGTACACATGTATACTTAGCCATATTGCAAGAGAAAAATAAGCATACTGCTCAGATTCCAGCACTGATACATTTGTAGAAGGCCAACCTCAAAGGCACATCTTTCCGATCGATCATGCAAGAGAATCACATTCTTCACGGGAACAGAACGGGCTCCACAAGCTCAGCTCCAAGGTTCCAGAAGGTGTGGCTGGGGCTGAAGGGACCATGGGAAACAATCCATACGGTCCCCCTGCCCCCCGTTTTATGACTTCCGCAGAAAAAAAGGGGATAGACCACCGTTGTGTTTCTCACAAGAGAACTGTTCTCTCATAATGAATATAAAAAAGATACAAAAGCGGGCTAAATTTATAATTGCAATCTAATTCTAAACTTCCAGGATTCTTACCTATAAATATGTTATCAATGAAGAACGTTGAAGATGCCTGCGTGCTGTTGCCGACTGCTGTCTCTGTGAGAGAGGTGGCCTTCTCATTTGTGTTCCTGCTCCAACTCCAGCTCTGTGTAGCCACACTGTTTTGTCTCCCCTCAGGCAAACTGTTTTTTCTGACAGCCTTGATTTGATTTCCATAAGCAAGCAACAGCTAGTTCCACTAAATATTTCCTCCTTAATATCTCATTCCCACAGTTTTTCTCTGCAATTTTAAATGTTTTTTAAAATAAATCTTAATCTTTCATATTTATTCTTAGAATATTAAACTTATGGCTATTTTCTCTAGGAATAGCTTCAACTTTGTATTCCTAACAAGTGTTCTTTTGTTTCAAAGCTATGAAAATGGAGGTTTTTCTAGACGTAGTATTTACCCACCATCGGCTTGATTCAAGTTGCATACATACATGTATATATGTACATGGACATACCCTATTATTGTTTTAACTCATTAAGGTAGAGGACGTTACTAATGTGATCGACATTACAGGCTGGATATCCCATGGCCAAAGATTATACTCTTGAACCTAATAAGCTATTTTGTAAATGTGTGCCTTTTGTTAAAAAGTAGCCTAGAAAAATATGAATGACTCAGTGCCAATCCATTACCACCAGTAGGAAATACTTAAACCCATGCTGTAATAGCAGGGAAAGAATGGGCCGCTACTCTTACCCTTAAGATGGTACTAATAACTGTAACTTATTACACTTTCTGAAAATCACCTTTTTAAATGTTCAGTGATGATACTGGTAAACGGAATTATTTTGTAATAAAATAATATATAATAATAGAGAAAGATGCGAGAATTACCTTATGGTAATAATTTCCCCTGGGTTTGCCCTTATGAGCCAGCTACAGTTGATCTTGGCGGGATACTCAGAAGGCCAGCCTGGGCTTGTGATTATTCCACTTGGTGCTCGAATTTGTTCTGGAGTCTCTCCACAGGCTGGAAGATAGCCAAAGCAATCTTAGCTAATTATTATACTTTAAAAGAAAGCATTAAGTAAATCAGTGTTTTTAAAAAAAAACCCAACACTGCAGACATCAAATCATATACAATAAAATATGGTATTATCAACTTTAAAAAGCTTCCATTATTCAAATGAGACACTTTATTTTCCTTCCTTTCAGTTAAACTATCATATCCTAATTAAGTACACATTTTGGGGAGGCACAGAGGTTTTCAAACCGGATCTCTGAATAACAGTTTAAGAGTCAGAATTGCTAGCTTTAGCCATGGAGATCAATCAGTTGCTCCATCCACCCATCCATTCATCTTTTTTCAAAACTCCCCTTTTACACTTATTTTATTATACATTACTTAGAGTTGAGTATTTACTGAATTACTGTGTTTATATCCTTAGGAGTACTATTTTATTTTTTTGGATACTTTAAATAAAAGACTTCATATAAAGTCTTCTAAAAATTATGGGAAAGCATATATATAAACATAATAGCAAAAAGGTGGATTATTAAAGTTAGTGGATAGTCGAATAAAGACAGCCAAACATTATTGCAAAATTACTGCAAAGTAGTTGTATAACTTATTTTTAATACTTCTAGACTGTATTACAGGGTCATGAGTAATTCCTATATTATTTTTTTAAAAAGGCTTGAAATACACCATCTGTCCAGAAAAGTCCAGCCACTGTTAATATAACAAGAATGGTTTGTGTGACATTATACTAGTTAGTGAAGGCAGTAGATGACATTGAGTGAGCATGTGTACTGTGTGGCCGTCACATTCAAAATGACTGAGTGAGTAGAGCAACGGATCTGCATCAAATTTTGCATTAAGCTTGAACATTCCTCCACAGAAACTATTAGGATGATTCAGAACACTGTAGCTATGTGCAACTGGTGACTGGCAGCTTCATCACCACAGCGCACCCACTCACGCATCACGTCTTGTGCAGAGTTTTTTTTTGTGAAACATCAAATCACCCACATGACTCAGACCCCCTACAGCCCAGATTTAGCAACATGTATCGTGTGGCTTTTCTAAAAGCTAAAATCACCTTTGAAAAGAGATTTCAGACCCTCCATGAGATTCAGGAAAATAAGACAGAGCAGCTGATGGTGACTGGGAGAACTGTGTGAGGTCCCAAGGTGCCTACTTTGGACTAAGGCGTCATTGCCCTCTGTCCTATGTACAACGTTCCTTGTATCTTCCTCAATAAATGTCTCTATTTTTCATATTACCTGGCTGGATACCTTCTGGACAGATCTCATAGTCATGATTGAAACATCCTTATGTGATCTGAGTATTACAGAAAAACAGAGACGTTTGAACTAGTACCACCACTTTCCTGGATGGTGTTCTCGACTGTCTCCGGCCCCCACAGGAACACAGCTAACATTTTACGCACCCACAATTCAGCTCAACTCTGACATTTTAATCTCCTTCAACTTAATAAATTGTCACTGGGCTACAAAAACAAACATATATAATACATGTTTAAGCCCTCAGTAAAGTTTAAATTCTATTTGATATAATTTTGACAAATTGAATTATTTGATTTTTAAAGTAACAGATTAGGGGTGTCAAATCAGATGAAGAAGAGAAGCTGCCAAGGGTACACAGACAGTCATCAGAAGTGATGGGGCAATTTTCAGAAAAACAAAGTATTCACTGAATTCAAAACCACAACAGGTTAGAGCCTGCTCAGTACCACCTGTCTTCCCAAAGGTCAGAGAGCATGCCCGGCCCACCACCATTACTCATACCTAGCCAACACAGCTGAGTGAATGCATGAATCTGCAAGCAAAGTGCCTGATATAATATGTGGTCTGACATTTCATGCTTCTTGAGTTCTGCTTTCAGTTTAAAAGTTAAGTAACCCCATTTGTAGGAAGGCAAGTATCTACTACAATTATAATTTGGAATAATGAAAAAACTGTTTTTGGTAACAGAGGTTATACTCTGTTCAATTTAAATTAGAATGCTAAGAAGTGTATTATGTAACTTTAAAAACTTTTTATCTACAATGATCAAAATAAAGCAAGTGATATTGCTTAGTTAATCCTTATTTGTATAGAATAACACATTCTCTGAAAAATAAAACATACGATTTGGGTTTTAAAAGTACATCTTACTTGCAAAAACAGTATTTATGCCTAAAATGGGGCTATTCTGGAGTTAGGGTACATTGCCAAAGGGATACCGTTTTCAGTTACTTTCAGAACACAGAGATTCACAGCATAGAACATAAGGATGTATGTAGCATAGCAAAAAGCTGGCACACATCTGACTGCCAACTCACAAAACTTCCAATGCTTTTTTTGTTGTTAAATTTTATCAAGGGTAAAATACCCTGCACAAAAAATTAAATTAATGCATAGTCCTTTAGAAAAAGAATAATTTTAAACAAATGTCACTCAATTTTAAGAGCTTATTAATAATAAAGTACTATAGTTTTGCTTCTAACTATGCCTGAATACAGTGGTTTTCAACCTTGTTCACTGCATGGCACACATAAAGTAATTATTAAAATTCTGCGACACATTGAAAGATATATTTTTTGCCTGTCTGACAAAAAATAGGTACAATTTTGATTCATTCATACCAGACAGCTTGTTGTGTTGGTGTTGTCATTTTTTTAATTTGACAGTCTAAAGGAAAAGAGGTCAGTGTCCCTGACTAAATTAGTCGGATGTTGCATGTTTTAAAAACTCCTACAATGCACCAGTTGAAAATCGCTGCTGTAATGAAATATCATCACAGTAATGAATGAAAAGGTATCCTAAATCATTCATAAGACTTTTTTCTTTCTTTTTGTCTCTTGTCAAAGCTTTCTGGAGTTGTATACTGAAGAAATTCTTAAGTTCATGAAGATACAATCATCACTCCTCTCCCAAGTGGAGAAAATTACTTTTCATAAGAAGCTTCATCTACATTAGAGAGAATAATAAATTTTGAGTGCAATTATATTTAACTTAGAATCATAACACCATACTGAGATACCAGTACTCAAATACTCATTAGCTGATTTAACAGCAATAAGATACATACAAAAACTAGGTGGGAATAATTTATAAAAAAGCAGACAATTGTTAATTTTAAATAAATGAACAGACTAGTCATAGGAGAAAAATTGAAAGAATTATATTAGGTTTTATTTTAAAATTTTTCCCCTCGAATACCTGATAGACCCATAGGTGGTGCTCTTATATAAAAAACTAAAGAACTTATGTTTTGGTATGAATGCTCAAAATACTATTATGGATATTTTCACACAACTGCTTAAGGAGAATCCATCTCCCAGAAAAAAGAATGGTCATTTTAAAATTCAGTATTTTACATTTCTAATTCAATAGGTAATTTAAAAACAAAACTATAATAATATTTCTCCCTTAACTGGCTATAAATATACATATTTTGATATATTAATTTTGCACATTTGCAACATGACTGAATTTGACATTTTGTTTCAGACCCAGCCAGAGGCTTTTAATCACGCGTTTCTGCATGTAGAATGCATTAGGGGTATGCAGGTACTCTCTAGTACAGTTGTAACTCCCTCCCTTCTCTACTCAAGAATACATTCCAATGTTAAAAGAGTAAGATTAATGCTTGCAACCATTGAAAAGAACTTTCCCTCCCTTTTGGATTGATAATTTTCCCCTATATACTGGTAGATTTGGAATCAGAAGACCTAGACTTAGTGGCTTTGCTACAGAGCAAATTACTAAACCTTTTTGGGCCTTGGATTCCTCATGTATCAAACTACACAGTTGCTATCTGAGTATCTCTAAGGTCTGTTTCAGCCTTAGACCATGCCCCTCCTTCCCAACCATGATGATATATTTCTAATTTCTGACAGTTCACCAGGATGCACTGTTACATTTTTCTTTATTGTCTCTTTGCATTTTTTCTTTGACCCAATGAAATCAAAATTCCAATTCTTAATCCCATAAATACCCCATAAGAAGGCAAAGGCCATTGCTGACCGCACTGCAAATCCACTGGACCCTCAGATCTCTTTAGAGCACTGGAGTGATAATTTTTCTGACACTGCACTACCGTGACGTTGCTCACACCACCTCTTCTGGCTCTCCTAACTCCTGTGTTAGTTCCTTGGCGTCAATCTGCCTTCCTCAGTCAGCTCCTGATATGCTGGTGTTCATATTGCATTCCCAAGACTTCTGCTCTTATTCTCAATGGAAAATCTCTCTCACTCCTACACTTACAACTATGCCTTATAGTTCACGGATTTAAAATATCTAACCTAGAGACTTTGCATAGTCAAATGCCCAATGGACCTTCCAACTTCCAATTCAACACAGCCAGACCTGGGTGTTTCCCTAATTCTTCTTTGTTCTACATAGTAGTTCCCTCCTATCTGTGGTTTCATTTCCATGGTGTCAGTATCCAAGGTCAAGCAGGGTCTAAAATTATTAAATGGGAAATTCTAGAAAGAAAGAATTTGTAAGTTTTAAATGGTGCGTCATTCCGAGTGGTGTGATGAAATCTTGTGCCACTCTTCCCCATCCCCCCGGGACGTGAATCATTCCTTTGGCCAATGTGTCCGTGCTGTTTACGACACCCGCCTGTCAGTCGTTCAACAGCCACATCTGTTATCAGATCAACTGTGGGGGTGGGGCAGAGAGAGGGAGGGTCAGGCACCAGTCACATCACTTTATGACAGTATACTGTTATAACTGTTCTACTTTATTAGTTATTGTTAATCTCTTACATGCCTAATTTGCAAATTAAACTTTATCATAGGTATATATGTATAGAAAAAGAATGGTATATATAGGGGTCAGTACCATCCGAGGTCTTAGAATGTACTGCCCACAAGTGAGGCGGGGCCTACCTACTGTATTCTGAATCTTAACGGCTGAATCTTTAACTGATGATGCCTTCAGCATCATTTAGTTAAAGGAATAGTCACTTCACCTAATTGAAATGAAAACAAAATCTACTTTCAGAATGCCACCAGC